ATGTATCATCGCTGTCTATTAATAGTTTTGATTTGTGTCTTTTATTAGACATGACTAACAAGAAGGTAAACCTCTACGATAGTCATCAGACACAATATACATTTTATTCTACAACCCACAGCTCCTTTATACTACGATTTATACTCACGATCTAAATATCGGTCTTGTTATTACAGTCTTTATCCCCCTAATAACTCCTCTCGACCTGTCTTCAAATTTTTCAGCCCAATGTAGAGACTTTTTTGTTTATTGACACGCTTTACAAGGTTTTTAACTGCCATAAAACACTCCCACTCCGCAATCTTGACAAAAAGAAGGACGTCACCGTATGATCTGTTTGCGACGACACAATATTTCAAAGCTGATGACTGGTTGAAGACGTCGTACATACGGTCATGTTACTGTAACCAATTTCTGAAGATCTTATGAGGGGCCACAGTACGCTATTAAAATTAATTTAACATTAATGCAAGGGACAGCGAAATTACATCCATCCGGGTCTATAATAAAGCAATACCTTAAACCCTTCATCCTTCGCATACATCCCGACTTTTTTCATAAATACCCAAGAGAAAAACGGATAAACGCCGCATCCTTACAAAAACTTTATGAGGTTATTGGTCCTCTTATTCCTAAACGCGCTGTTAGCACATCACAGATAAATGTAGACTCCAAGGTAGAATTAGAATTTCATTATAAACACGAAGACGAGCTGAAAAAAGTTCAATGCAGTATTGCGACTCCAAGGCCATACAACCGTAGCTTTGCGTTATGGCAAACGACGTACGATTTCTTATCACTATGTCATCAAGTTGGAGTTCACATTGACACGCAAGTTTTCGATCAAGTCGAACAACAATTGGAAGAATTCACCAAATATAAAGGAATTAATCAAGGGAAATCCCTTCGCGAGATCTTTGTTGAAGAATTGAAACAATCGTTGGCATTAGACCAGACATCTACTGCGTCGATCCGAAATAAAACAAGACACGATCATGATCAATGGTTGCTAAATGAATTTGCTGATTCAAACCAGTTATTGTTCTTTGGCGAGTCATTATCCCAAGAACAGAAATTAATCTTTATGAACACTGCTTACAATTATCTTTTGAATAACAAAATAAAAGAGACTTGGTGGAATAAGGTACCCGTTATTGTGATCAATGCCAGGGAGCAGAGCAATTTCAAAAGCGGTGTAATCGTAATGAATTATGATATAACGGAAGAAGGTGAGCAATAATGTCATTTATACGAGATTCTGCTTTAGCTGCTAATTTCAGTATTATGCGACTATTCACTCTCAGATTTGGCCGAGTACTTGAACCAGAACCTTAAACGTATACGTCTGGAATATCAGGATATTGTTGCTAAGAAATTGCAGCGACAGTAATAAGAGTTGTACAATGCGATATTAATAGTCACTTTTTGAGATGAAGACTTGGTGGTATAAAGTTAAATTTACATACTGTAGTGGGGAATTGAAAACTTTATTAGCAGTAATTACCGTATTATTAGCCATCATCGCTCAAGTCCAAGAACTTACAATCGTCAGATCGAAACGAGATAAATCAAAAGATAGAGTACAAATTTTTTATCACACAGCAAAGTCTCGAATATCATAATGACTTGACAGCATACAAAAAGCACGTCCAAAGCAGTCTAAATATTAATATTAACGATTGCTTTATTTGTAAATCAGCGTTACACACAACTCAGACTCATTTTGCCGATAGAAGTCCCTGACTCTAAATTTTACTCCTCGAACATGGGGGACATTGTCGATTTGCCTTTGGGCCTTTCATCAGGCTATGAAAGACTCTATGAAAGCGGAAAATATGCCGACATTTCGATTCACATCGGAAGAGAACCAGACTACAAAGTGTTTCTTGCCCATACTCTGGTTTTACGCACAAGAAGCGCATTTTTCGAGAATGAATTGACCCGCAATACTGTCAGAACTAACGAACTGCAACAAATAGTCATGGTATACGAAGACATATCCCCTGCTATCTTTGAGCTTTTACTTAGGTAAAGATTAGAAAGGTTTCAAATGATTATTCACAAAAGGGGATTATTTTAACCGGTCCATTAATTCTATAGATTTATCTACAGCGGAAAAGTAGTGTATAATTCAAGCGAAGGTCTCGATTGGATCGCTCTTTTAGAAGGGGCCAACATGTTTGAGCTAGATCATCTCATCACTGCAATTCAAGATTATTTGATTAATCAACAAGAGAAATGGATATGGCAAAACATTCTCACAGTTTCCAAATGCGCTTTATCCTCAAGCTCATTACGTAGACTTTTGAATTATTGTAATCAAGTCATGATATCATCTCCAGACATTATTCTCACGTCTAATGATGTTGCAAGTCTATCAAAGGAGACCATAATTATCCTTCTTAGAGATGAAGAGCTTAACATGGACGAAGAGGAGATTTGGATGTCAGCCATACAATGGGCTATTAAACAAGTGCCTGGACTTGAAGATAATCCAGCAAGTTGGACATCAAATGCTATCAATGCAGTCCGAGCTGTTATTTCCGACTTGTTACCTCATATCAGATTTTTTAGTATTTCGCCTAAAGCGTTTAATGAGAAGGTTATGCCATATATTGAACTACTGCCAAAAAAACTGCAATCCGATATAATCAATTACCATACAGGAAAGGGTTGTGTATCGAAAATCCCTACGCTGCCGCCAAGGAAAAGGCGGGTTCCTGATTTTGATTCAGTCATCATTAACAAGCAACAAGCGGAATGGATTTTACAAAAAATTGTGGAACTCACGAATCAAGAGGAACCCGATGTAATTGCTGAACGAAATTCTTCACACAAACTAACCCTACTTTATAGACAAAGTAGGGACAGTGTCAATTTTCAGCAAATGTGCCAACACAAAGGGGCTACAATTGTTATTGGGAAAACGTTGGGTACAGATGAAATACTCGGTGGATATAATCCAGTGGCATGGGGTACTTGTCCAAATGCATACATTCCAACTACAGAAAGTTTTTTGTTTGCATTGGATAAAAATATGCCAGAAAATAGCATAGTAAGTTTTGTTATTGATAATGAGCATGCTGTTTATGATTGTGATGACAATCCTGCATTTGGTTACAACGGAATCGATCTATGGTTTGGACATGATGCTACGGCACAGAAAGAATCATATGAAAAACCACTGGGATCTACTTTAGATGGATTTAAATGGTCTGATTGGGAGGTTTTTTTGGTTGAACTTGACAAATGAATGTTTTAATTTGTATTCAAACCAACTGAATAATAAATTTATGCATTAAATATTATGATGATTAATTCCTTAGTATTAGTACTACAATTATGATTAATGATTGGGAAATCACTGATTATATATTATTACTAAAAGTTCATTACATATCGTATCTGCTTTGACGTATATGCTAGAATAGCCTTAAATGTACTTACTTGACATCAATTACAGATCGTTGTTGAGTCTTCATGAAACTCTATTACTATGACCAGGGACGGACAAGCCATCTTAATTAATCTGTCGGGTCATAGAATCAGGGCGAGCCTTAATATTAAGGACACAGCCCACTCTCACCAGATCAAGACGCAGTTGTCAACACGAAAGCAAGCATTAAAATTATTAATTCAATAATTGCAAATAAGGTAGTATTTGCCATGGTAAGTAGTATTGGAAATTAATTTTCTTAGGTAAAATATGAACACGTTCACTTGCTAAATTTTAAACTTTATTCTCGGACTTATTTCATCGGCAATTAGATGTTTCAGAACACGGGTTAGAAACTCAGTTTTGTTGACATGAATTCTTCGTGCATGAAGCTTATAGGGAAAACGCTTGCGTTTTAGCGTAGGACAAAGGTCGTTTGTATGATTAAAGTATTTATAGTTGTAACAGTCTTACTTCCATTCAGGACGCGTGGATAATATCGATCAACCGAACTTACGAATTAAGAGCCGTTAAGTTATTATCCTTGGACTAATTCCACTAACAACTCAGATCTCATCGCTTTACTTCTAGATGTCAAATATAGTTCTAACCGTCAATAACATTATCACGTTGCAAGCGTATTGAAGTGATCTCGATCACTACATACTAAAACTTCATGTCTATGATGTCTCACTTAAAGAAAGGGTGCAATTATTTCGACATTAATCGTTCGATCAATACGACACTTTAGCATGCCGAAGGCCATGGAACATTTCGACGAAAAAAATCTCAACCAAATAGTAAGAGAGAGCACTAAACTGAGGAGGAAAGAGCAAGACAAGGCATTGACCAAAGAGGATATTCTCGATTTGCATAACTTCAATTATATACCAAATATTTTCATAATTTGTGCGATTTCCATAAAGCTCGAGCGCAAATGATGCGGATACTGTATTTGTACAGTAATTTTATTAACGACAAATTTAATCTACATAATATGATTAGACATTACTCCATTTGTAAAAATTCAAAGAATCAGACTGTCCCATGAGGCATGGATTTCTTGTTACCGACGTTAAGTAAGATCTCATCCAGGTAAACGTAATTCTACTTTTGCTGACGATAGATGTCATATTATATAAATGGTCCACATATCTCGATTAATAATAACGTCTCATTCATTCCGAGTGATATTTGCGAGAAAGTAGATATTCTTCCCAGCTAATCATCCCACTATTAGTGAGAAAGTAAATCAAAATTTATGCTTAGCCAAATCTCACCACTTTTGACATCTTAACTGACAGGTTTGCAATATGTAACTCACTCATTGTCCATATCGTCTTCATTAAGAACATGATCAACCATTTCAATAATTTCGTCAAGAGTAAGTGTTTGTTTACCGTCCTCGCTGTGGTCAATGAAGGCTTCTCGTAACTCATGTCCATCAAGGTGACCGTCCTTGTTTACATCATGAATAGAAAACAAATAATAGAGTTCATCGTCTGCCGACATCTTTTCAGGATGAGGGATGTCTTTAAGGTGTTGCTGGACATGTCTAGGCATACATTTAAGTAAAGAAAAGTTTGTAAGCCGAGAATGCGCCAACGGTCGATAGATAGAGTTGAGATATGCGCGTGACGGGAAAAAAAACCAAATCAAACATATCATTACACGACATAGTCTTAACTAGTTTGCCAGCGTTTATTGTGACGTAACTTACTCTTTTACTCTCGCAGAATCCCCAAAGTTTTGATGTTCGCCTTCATAATTGATTGCCTGTTGCGAGGCTAGAGCACCAGCTAAAAGTGCGTAGAGATACAATAATAATATGAATAGACGTAGTGTCCGCATCATAGGAATAACAAATCGGAAGAAGAGATTGTGCGTAATAGTAATATTTTGCACAGAATCCGTAAAATAAGAAATAACAAATTACCCAGGTTAAGAATGGTGTGTGAACGTAAAAATTTTCGAAAAGGAGAAAGGGAGTATTGTAATAATAGAGTCACCTGATATTTCAGTATAACTATTTTTTGAAAATACACATGACCTTGGTATTTATTTCGCTAAAAGAATGACATAGCAGTGAAAGGGAATCATGACCATCTATAATTAAGCTTTTACTTTGGGATTATTTCTGCAACTCGCGGGGTGCGACTTGTTATGCTGCTTTGATTATACATTTTCAAACCGTCTACCCACAAGATTTACGAAATTTTGTAGATTATGCTCGCTCGCTCGCCATACCCGTTGTGTTAAGAGCTTTTCCTGCAGAGGAGAATGTCCTTGCCAACAACTGCATCGAACTTCTGACGTTCATCTCAAAGTACTATGTAAAACCGTATCCGTGGTGGGAAAATGGGAATCTTTAAATCATGGTAAGTGCTTCTGTAGTGCTGGCAGTCGCTACTCAATCAAGTACGTATATAGTTTAATAACATCTACGAATACTGTTTCAGGTCTTGCCATGATGGTCCTTGAACGTCTTTCACCGATTCAAATCTAAACTATTACAACGCGTGCAGAAGTCAATGAGAATTGATTCAAGCTTATATATGCCAGGACAACCATTCGTCTATTTCTCATTCCATTGGAAGCCACAACTGTGGTTACAGCACTTGTAGAATATAGACATGGGTTCATCAGCTGAACGTGTTTGAATCTGCATAAAATAGGCCCGAGGATGTTCACATTTTGGACAAGTGACTAGTATTATGAGCGCGAAGCACGTTATATAGTTACTATGGGTGAAAACATTTCTTCAGAATATAACTAATACGAATATTTACCATCCGTCGAATCTACATTCTTCCATGCCTCCTCACCACCAAGCACATCATCTACTTCTTTACTTTTAAATGTAGTTACATTTTTATACTAACAAGTTCAAGTTGATATCAGTTATCAAAACAAAGATCAAATACAAAAACCGAATAAACGTGCGTGTGATGGATACGTACAGGTCGCGTTATTGGAAACACGTATGGACACGTTTGACAGAAAAACTGCTGCTCAACAAGCGTCTGTTGAACGAGTAGAAGATTTCCACAGCAGGGACAGAATAACATTTGAGCGTTGGCGAGAGTTGCAGCTGATTCGTAATATGTACGAGCACGTGTTCAGAATGTTCAAGTACCAAGCCAATTTTATTGGTTAGTGAATACACTTTGACTTTCTATCGTAAATTCTCTTGTTATAACATTTTCAAGTGCTTGACCTGATCGAAAATGGTATGTTATATGACCTTATCTTTAAAATTAGTGTCGTGTTACTTATAAATTCAGGCCTACAAGGTATATTGAGTGAACATTTTATAAGCGCAGTCCAAACTTGTATACCCACCAATAGATTTGAGAGATCGATGTGGCATGATGTTCTTTCATAACACAGAGATCATACGAGATTCTATACGGATATTTTATATGGAATTAAAATAGAGGAATACATCCAGTATCAAGGCTGGGGGGGGGGGGGGGGGGGGGGGAATAAGAAGGGGGGGGGGGGGGGGGGGGGGGGGGAACATCACATAACCAGTGTTTTCTTGAACGCTTTTGGTAATGGAGCCGAGGAATCTCGCAGATATTTTTTCATCCAGTAATAGTGTGTTCGATCACCACATAGA